AGGAGATGGATAGAGATTAAATGAGCATGTAGAGTCTCTTGGCAACGAAACCGTCAAGATGGACCAAGCCAAACCTTGCCTAAGCTGGCCAAGAAGAAGCGGTAGAAACAAACAAAGCGGATGCTCGGGAGAGAGAGAATCGAATCACTGAAGTTGAGATCGTGTCAAACAACGTGACCACCAAAATGGCAGCTGTTCACTTAAGCTGCAGGGGAGGGCCTGTTAAATTGCGGCCAGATTAGGCCACGGACATCCCAATCTGGTGAGACCCTGGACCACTATTTCGTATTTCTGGAGCTGGAAATAGCCCATGATCGGCCTCTGCTTTGATGAAGCCAGAAGAAACTAACGATGCTGGCTGCTTCAGGTGAATGCTAGGAGAATTTGAGTCAGTCTATCGATTCTATCCGCAGACGGTGGAGGGAGTTGAAGAGAATTGTTATGCAAAGTGGCTGAGCATTTCAGAACAGGGCGGAAAGAAGGTTCACGGAATCAATCTCCGTCTATCATGCAATAGCAGAATACGGATATGGACAGGACAGATGCAACTCTAGATAACTTTGTTGGCGCCTATTCTATGTATAGGCATAAGGTAGGCAGAGCACCACGCGCCGAAGGTTTGTGGGGATATTAGAGCAAGACCAACAGCCGAGAAGTAGGCCGACATGGGACGAAGTGGGAAATACGACGGTAACATTGAAAGACAGTAATAAGATAACTAGATACGGATAGATTAGAGTCAAATGGCCTCTAAGTTAAATTGAAGAGGGCGATCTTATGCATAAATGTCAGTTGTTAACGGGGTGGATGACCAGGACGCTCAGGCGAGAGAGGTGCCGTGGAGATAAACCAGATAGGATTGCGTCTTTTAAAGAACGAATGTCAATATTTTTAGCCAAGCTTATCCAGGATGACAATACAGTACATAAGCATCAAGGAAGGATCTCGGAGTCATCTGTAGATCATCGAAGGAGCCCGTGACCAAGGATCATTTGGAGTTGACAGCCCGAGATGAGAAGGGAGTTTATTAACAGACCAAGCCAACCCTAAATTGAACTGATCTCTGCATATCACAACTCACAACACGAGAAAACCATGTGTGGAAGCACACTAGGAATCAGTCCAGTAGAGATTTGCGCGTGAGACATTTAATACAAAAAAATATTAGTAGACCGACGCGCAATCTCGGGCGCTCAACCAACCGAACCACAGCATTTTTTCTGTCCGTACCTTACGGAGTACAGTGTGCAAATTCATTACATTTTCCAGCGCCCACGTGGAGTTGTGGAATTCGCTGCTGCACACAAGCTCATCGGCATCATCAACTCAATCGAGGTGATGGCGGACGTTGTCTGACCCCCTTCTCATAAGGCCCCGGTCAAGCCACAGTCACATTCTATTGTCAAGTTATTTCGCTTGGACACGGAGAATCTCGAGTCAAAGACATGGCTTGCAAGACCGGTTGATTGTGTCCGATATATTATCATCATTCATCCGGACCCAAGTCAAACCCAAATAATACTTTCTTTTTTGTATGAAATCGCTCATGTTGATACAAGGGAGAGTCTGAGCACATAATGACGACCAGCCCTAGGCCTGCCAGGTACTGTACCGACAATGATGAGTCTTCAGTCTCGCATGCCACGGAACGGTAGGGAACAGGGTCGTGATGATTAAAGGCTTAAGCCCCCCAGGTCCAAGTGGCGCTGCCGAGACAAAGCTAGCCGTTGCTAAGACTTTGCTCGAGCGGGTCTCCCTGTCTGATCTTCAAGTGCAATTGGGCTTTTCCCCTGTCGTCAAAAATCAAGTCGGCTTCATCACAAGTCGGTTCCTGGATCGCGGCGCTATCCAGGCCACGGGGTGGCCCTCTTTTTGGGCCCTGACCATCAGTAGGGGAGGAACAGGGAACGCACCAAGGCGTCGCTGGCCGGGAGGCTGCTGATTGCGGTTAGCAGTCGATACACGATCATTCATTGATCGGTACCTTGTTCTTGATAATAGGCACACATGCTGAGAGGGTATTGTAGGGGACACAAGCTTGTATCGTCTCGTGCTTCCTTTCACTCGCGTGTGAAACCTCTCTGGGTGGTTGCATCACCTCTTCCACGCGCTGTCGTTCACCATCCAGAGTTTTTCGTTGGTTAACATAAGCCACGGTTAAATATTGTACAACACCAGCCACGAATAAGACTCATGAGTCGGGGTGGACAAGAATGGCCCTGTTCGTGATTAATAAGCAATTATGAACTGCCGATGATAACGACAAGGCGGGTAGGTTAAGTTATAAGCGAGATCATCTTTGAATGCATTGAATCTATCACAGCCGTCACATCGCCCCCTTTGAAGATTTTCAGCACGAGAACCACAAGTGGATTGCGGAATCGAGTTGTGAATTGCGATTTGACTCTGGAGTTTGTACACGGGCAAGCTTTCCTGTCAGAATCTTCGTTCAACTCGGAACGTCTCCCTTGTGAACGAGAGGGAGAAGCAAAAAGACTGGAGATGTAAAACGTGCACACGCAAGCTTTCGTAATGCTCGTAATGCAGATGAATACGATAACCACGTTGTACGTGTCAGGTTTCGGGGTCGTCGATATTTGTACTGAGCTAGGCCATAGTTGTCTAAAAACTCTGAATTTGTCCAATGAGAACTCTCACCTGTGACGCTCCCCCTTCAAGATCAGGGCTCCATCAAGCTTTGCACTGGTCGTGTCTCCAAACTCACACAGCTCTGCATAACCTGCACAACTCACCAACTTCACTGCATAATGATTGGCATTCCACAAGCTTTGAACTGGCTGGCCCCCCGGCAGATGAGAGACAGAGCCAGTGTTTGGGACTCAACGCTACGACATGGTCCGTCGATTTCCACCAACGGCACTGTTGTAGCATGGCCTGCGCTGGGCAAATCATGTCACTGATGAGTGTTTACTTTGTGCTTCACCATTGCCCTCCAGCATACCGGTTCTCCAACTTGCAACATATGGGGCCGCATTGTTGAGGAAAGGAGAGGCGCATCGATTCACACTCTATAGGTAGCTTATCTTGTTATTGCTGACAGCAGCAGCCAGAATGAATTGAGTCAACTGTGCCGTGTCCAGGCATTGATACCATTCTCTCTTCGATGGTGTGCCGCTGCAACAAAGCAATCTCAGCCACACCCTGGCTCTTGGTTCACGGACTCAAAACCCCCTACAGGCACAGGCTGCACACCCACCAAGCCCCGTTCTGTTAGGTGCGCAATTTCAGGTTGGCGGTTGTGCTGGCTTTACTTGCCGCTAGGCAACCCGCTATCGCAATAGCGTGGCTCGTTGTGCATTGGCAGTCCGAGGCTTGAAGGGGTTCGAGCAGTCTTTGGCGCCTCTGACCGAAGCCGTCAGGAACTTTCAACGGGTGCGATCAACGGTGGAAGGCGTTTGCGAATGCAGCCTCCTTGAAGAATACGGTTGGCTGGCTTTACGGTAGCTCCCGAGAGATTCCAACAATAGCAGACGGAGGCGCTGAGCATTCCCAGAGGTGACGCTGCATTCTCTCAACTGAGCCATTCTGCGTCTTGCTGTTAGGGGAATACCTTCACACCAACTGTCCGGTACATTGTGTCTACAGCAGATTAGCAGCTGATGCCTTGTACCTATCGCCCAACCCTTGAGTACCCGCACAAGGTCAAGGGGGTTGGTGTGGATGGTGTCCTCTCCTTTGTTCGTCTCTCCAGGTCCACCTGAAATGGCAGTACGGAGCACGAAGCCGTGCTGGTCGCCCTGGCTCTGGTTCAGGTTCACTCTCAACGCTCAGTCAACGATCCCGGTGCTAAAAAAAAAGTCTCGTAGTGGAGGTTTTAGGTGTTGTACGAAGGGACGAGTGCCCGCTCACTATCCATGTTGAGTTAGGTGCCCCTCAGTCCCAGTTCAGTTCAGAGGGCATCTGCACTCAATGGCTGGCTCATTGACTGACTGATCCTCTCTCATCCACATGGACGGTGGACCCATGCTGGTTGCTTGGTGTTGATGTTGGTGGTTTTGGGACACACCCCCTTGATCCTCGTCCCCTCGTCCCCTTGTCCCTGTCGTGTTTCCATGCCCTTCCCATCTCCCCATTCGCCTTCATTCCTTCCTTTCCTTCCATTGCCTGGTTGGTTACTGACTGTACTCCGTACTTGCTTGCTCACTCGCTCGTTGGCCCTGTCGCTCGCTGTCCCTTCTTTTCTCCAGCCTTTTCTTACATCTAGTACTTACATACCTCTACTCTCCTTCCCGTTCCCTCGTTTTCTCTCCACACCGACCTCACCTCCAATCGACAAGCATCAAAGGCGTCGTCGACCGTCACTTTCGATTCTCGACAGCGCTTCTGCGTCTGCTAGCCGATCCCTCGCGAGACCCGTTTACGAGTTTGACTCCCTCACACTCCTTTCAACTGCACCGAACGGAGTCTGGCTGCCAGTAGGACCTCTGGAGGTTCTAGCAATTTAATCAGCAAATGTCGACGTAACGATTGATTTAATAATATCCCTCGCCAAACCGACAATCTGCCAAGACTACGATACCTGAAAGAAGAAGCCCGTAACGGACCCTAATCTGAACGACACGCGTCTGTTTGAATCACATTTGACGATATTTCGTCAGTCACTCTTTTGAATTGATTTTGGAATCGCATATACATACGCTCTACGCAACCTATATGTGAGTTGGACTTTCATTTCGTGCCGTATGGCTGTGGTGTTCCGGGTATCGACATCTGTCTGAAGGAATAATGTTGCCAAGAAGAGGGTGGACACCAGATTACACAACGGATCATGGCACGGAACGACGACTAATACGACTAAACAGATTACACTCGTTGACCTAATAGTCAAGTACATTCGCTGAAACTTATTCCTGACAGTGAGTCTAGCGATGTAGAGACTGAAGGCTTCAATCTAACAATAGGATCAGCATACTCATCTTCACCCAATCCGATCCTCGTCACTGTAAATACTCAGTCTCAACCACCAAACAGTATCAACAATGCACGCAAAGAACTTCATTGTTGCCCTGGCTCTGGCCTCTTCCTCTGTTGTCGAAGCAAACCGACCGCGCATGTACATCCCTCGACAAGTCAAGCGAGAAGTCGAGAACCATGCCCCAGAGAACCAACCAGCTCCTGTGATAGAAAAGCGGGGGCCTGCTGATTCATTCATCAAGAGCCTCATCGACAAGAACAGCCGAAAACAAGCGAGCCAGGAGGATGGCGTTAATTTCGACCCAACACTGCCTCTGGGCTTCAAGAAGTCTGGACCTAGTGCCAGCGCACCTGCACTCATCATCCAGCCAACAACAAGCGAGGCCCTCCCCGAGACCACGGAACCTGCTGTCTCTACCGACGCTGCCACAGAAACCGATACTGGCATTCTCCTAGCTCCCAGTGGTATCGTCACATCGAAGACAGCTGCCCAGCCCGCTGAACCTGCCACGACGACAGCAGCTGCGGTTAAGGAGCCTTCGACTGAGGCATCAAAGAAGGAGGAGACGAAGCCTGCCGCCACTTCCGATGTCGTTGCCAAACCTGCTACCACCGAGAAGCCTAAGGAGGAGACAAAGCCCGCAGCTACCACAGCACCCGCTGTCGAGAAACCTTCATCTGTCAAGACTTCCGAACAGAAGCCAGTCGTCGAGACTAAGACCGAGGCACCTGTCCCTGTTGAGACCGTGACCGAGCCCGCTGTCGTTGAAACCAAGACCGAGGAGCCCAGTGCCACCAAGGGTCTTCTTGACCCGGTCGAGAGCATCTTGACATCTGCGCTCCCCGTTGCTTCCGACCCTAAGAAGGAGACTAAGCCTGCCGCTGTTGAGACCAAGACCCAGGAGCCCGCAGTTGAAACCACTGAGAAGCCCAAGACTGAGCCTGAAGAGACCAAGCCTGCTGCGGTCCCAACCACGAAGGAAGGACTGTTGGACCCCGTTGAGAGCATCGTTTCCTCAGTTGTTGCTGATCCTGCCGACTCTAAGACTACGGAGCCTAAGCCAGTCAACACCGAGACCAAGAAGGTCGAGCCAGCCAAGACCGACAGCCAGAAGGAGACTCAGCCAGCTCCCGTCGAGACCGAGACTGCTAAGCCCGCTGAGCCGGAGACCACAAGCCCAGCTGTGGAGAAGCCTGCTGCCACTTCCAAGGGCCTCCTTGATCCTGTCGAGACTCTGTTGTCTTCGGTTCTTGCTGAGCCCGCTGACAACAAGACCAAGGACCCTACCCCTGACCAGACTGAGTCTATCCCTCAACCCGAGGAGACCGGAACACCCACCAAGGACCCTCAGCGTGACGCCTCTAAGCCTCAAACTGAAGGTCAGACTCTCCCAACCTTTAGCCCTCCGGCTGACGAGACCACCGCTGCCCCTAATGCTGGTGAGACTTCCAAGGATGGTATCTTGGATCCCGTTAAGACACTTCTCAGCTCCGTCTTGCCCAACCAGCCTGATGTCAAGACGACATCTCCTGAGGACACTTCAGCTCCCGTGGACAGCCAGCCTACCTCTGCTGCCCCCAATGGCTCTGAGCAGACTGTTTCTGCTGTCCCTTCAACCGAGCCTAAGACTACTGGCTCTGCCGAGATCATCCCCACCAGTATTCTGCCAGATCCTACTGATATCCTCCCTGTTCCTACTGATGTCACATCTGCTGTTCCTGAGGCCTCAAGCCCGGTCACTGTTTCGCCTGTGATTCCTACAACTGTTTCTCCCCCTAAACAGTCCGAAAGCGGTTCCTCGGATCTTACTTCATTCGTTGACCCCTCCACCAAGTTTCCCCAAACTGGCAGTGTTGCACCTACTGATGCTCCTAACACAACTGTACCTCAGGTGACATCTGGTATCGATGTTACGCCTGTGCCCACCAGCGAGCCTATCAACGGAACTGAGACCATTCCTAACGTTACGGACGAGCCTCAAACCACTGGCGCCCCCGTGCCTACCAGTGCTAACACTGAGGAGCCAACAAACGTCACCCAGACTGCTATCCCTACTGGGGGTGCCACCAATGAGCCCTCAGGAAACACCACGGCGCCTGCTACTGAGCCCGCCACTGAACCTGCCACTGAGCCAGCCACCGAGCCTGCCACCAAGCCTGTTGAGACAGCTTCTGGCTCGGTTCCTACCGGCAGCCCTGCCACCGAGACTGATGCGGAGACCAACGGCACTGCCACCGTTGAGCCTACCAAGCCTGCTACTGGCGTTGAGACTCAAAGCGTTCCTGCGTCCGAAGGAGAGCAGACCTCTGCCGTTGCACCCACAGATGAGCAGCCTTCAGTTGCGCCCACTTCGCAAGCTCCTGTTGAAACCGAGACCAAGCCTGAGCCTGAGCCTACTACTCTGGTTCCCACAGCTGCTGTTCCTGTCACCAGCATCCGACCCACTGCCACTCTTACCAACACCAACAACTGGCTGCCCACCACCATTGTCTTTGAGCCTACGTCTATCCCCGCCGCGCCTTCGCAGCCAACTGAGACCTCAACCTCCACCGGCCTTCCTGCTAACATTCCCCGTGTTATCCTTCCTAACGACCCCAACCAGCCTATCCCTGAAGGCTCTGTTCCCATCCAGCTGGGTTTCTTGTTCCCTTTCAACTACAAGTTCCTGGCTCGCAACACTGTCGCAGCTGCTCAGCTTTTCAAGTACCTCCCTAAGGGTCTTGCTGATGCTGGTGGCTTCTCCAAGGACCGCATTCTCATTAGCAAGATTGTTCCTCTTGACACACAGGCCCAGTGGGGATACATCACTGCTCTCGCCAAGATCCATTATCCCGAGAACATGATCGACAGTCTCCAGGCTGATCTCATCACCCCCAACTCCCCATTGTACAACAATGATCTTGAGATCGTCCGTAACCTGACCTCCGTCATCAACACCAAGATCGACATCTTTGGTGACTCGGACACCGACAGCAACACAGGCAATGGTAACTCGGATGATGGCAACAGTGGCAACCAAGATGTCTTCGGTAACAGTGGCGAGGGTGACAAGTCTGCTAAGCAGAAGGCCACCACTGCTGGTATTGCTGTTGGTGCTGTTGGTCTCAGCGTCATGTATGGCGCTGCTATGTTCTTGGTCGCCCGGCGATACAAGCGCAAGAAGCAACTGGGCCACCGCCGTGCTAGTTCCATTGGCAGCAGCCAGCGTTCTTCTGAGATGCAGTACACCGGTAACGGCAGCCCTGCGCTCATGGGAGGTGCCTTGATGAGCCGTGACTTCTCAGCATATGGCGCAACACATGCTGAGCAAGGCCAGGTTCACCCTGGTGGCCGTGACAGCCATGGCAGTGGACGCAGTGGAATGGGCAACTCTGCACGAACAGCGTACATCTCTGCGCCTGTTGCTGCTGAGAACTCTCTTGGATGGAACTGATCCAAATCAGACGGCTGATCGCCTTAAACCATACACCAAAAAAAATCTATACCTTTTCACCAGTGCACCATTTTTCTTTTTTTTAAAACACTTCGATACCCTTCAGGTGGATTGTGATGACTACTCCTACCACTACGACGCGGTGATCAGCTAGTCACTACGAAAATCGCTCAACATGAGCAAACCCAACTCGAAATGTTTCCTTTCACCATGCTCTTTCTTCATCATGTTGAGACGACGATGCGGCATGTGCCTTGCTCTTCATTATAGACTTACCGGTCGGCTGCCCCGGCCCTACATCATTCCCCCCTCACGCCTAACGCCTCCAAAGGGGTAGAGCCCCCACGTCCCTTTTACTTATTCGTTCGGCTCCATCCTGGCGACCTGGCCAACCTTTTTTTAATGCTCTTGACCTTTCTTTTCTCTTGTCATTGTTTATTGTATCTTGTCGTGGAAGAAATGAGTTGTCCATGTGTAAGAGGAGGGACGGCGAGGCAAGGGATAACGGGGAGAAGGTGAAAAGCTTGGCTATCTAGACAGGCGTTTTGGGACGGGACAGCAGACAATGAGAGCAGGTTCTGGATGATAGGATACATGTCAACTTGTATATAACAGGACTATTTTCTGTGTGTTTGGTCCATGACTTGTATGCCTTTTTATCACTTCTGAGGAGAGCGATGGAAAGCGGTGGTGTTGTTCAGACTTTTCAAAACGTTAGAAACCAAAGAAATCCAATTAAAGAAAGAAATGGATACTCGTGAATGCATGCTCTGTCTTGCCCGTCTCATACAAATGTTCGTATTAACATCTCCAAACATTGACTAACTAGTCAGTCTGTCCCCGTTCTACATTAGCTTCAGCTCTCTCGATTAAATGAACATGGCAATTGTCTGCTGTATGATTGATCTTGCGTACATACATATTTAGGCCATGTCACTACCCGTGATGCTCGTGATCCCCCTTCGGCGTGCAGCCTGCCAGGTTTGGTATGTTGAGAGGTTACATCGTAGTCTAGATAAGGCTGATATGCCGAGTCTATTGGGCGCGGATTGCTCGGACGAGATGGTCTGCATGGCTGATCACGGCCATTTTTACGTGATCTCTGTCTCATGGAATGATCCTTGGCTGAGCTATACCTGGTGACGTACAACTTTATCGCTAATAGACTTTTCATGTGTAAATGAGCGTCTTTTGGCGGAGCTTCTAAGACATTTGCAGCGGGCTTCCCGCATGTAGCGATTGACTCGTCGAAAGAGTAATTTCCCCTTGCATTAAACCCTGACGGTCGGCCACGCTACGGCGACGGCGCCAACGGTGCGGCGCTCGGGGACTGGGGGCCAAGGACAGGGGTTGATTAGACTCGATTCTCAGTCTTGGGACTTAGGAGGAGCATTGTCTTGTCTTGTCTTGTCTCTTCTTGGATTCAGGCTTGTCAAGACAGGCCAGGTTGATTGTCAAGATGGATGAGTCCAGACTCATCATGTGCAAACCCTGCATCTCGCATGATATATCATATTCCCTGTCGAGGCCTTTTAGCTGCTTCTTGCTTGACCTTGCGTGGGCAGACTACGGAGATTTTTGCCCTCTTTTGTTCCTCTTGTCTCCTTTTACTAACTTGATAAATACTAGCAACCCATTGCGTTCATCCGAAGTTCAGGGGCCGTCTTGAAGACTTTGACGCGTGGCGTCACAAACTATCGAAAAGGCTATTAATGGTAAGAGTAGGAAAGTGGGAGGAAAAGATAACGTAGTTAGTTATATTGGAGTCTTGGAGCTAAGAAACGGCCAAGCGCCGGAGACAGATGCATTTAAGAGTACTAGACAAAGAAGCGAAGCTTGGCTACTCCGGCTTCTTCTGGGGCCAGTGAGAGCTAAAATAAGAAGAGGGGAAATCAGACCAGTCTAGGTTTCGATGGATGATTCACTTTCACGATGCTAGCTCAACGAGTCTGCAGGTACCGTAGTTAGATCAGGTAGCGACGCGGTTATAACGGTGGACCAAAAGTTTGATGGCGTAAGCCTTGGACGGTTGATTCAGTTGAAGATGGAGATGGAGATGGAGATGCCGAGCTGAACTGAAGAGAAGGATCAGATCAGGCTGCTAGTGAGTGTCAGCTTGTCTAATACTAGTTTGGTCCTATCATGCTAGAGTCGCATTGCACTGCTCCTCTTGCGCATGGCATGAAAGCTCTTGTACATACATACGCGGATGGTGGAGGTGAGGGGCCATTTTCAGGGGTTGAGAGCAGTTTATGGACGAGGATTCAGAGACTATCGACCCAATATAGCATCAGAATGCGGCGCTTAAGTTGTATGTAAATGCATTATTTGTTGGCGTAAAGGTTGTGACTGTGACTGTGACTGTGACTTTATGAGGGGAGAGTATCCGTACCTTGCCTTCCATGGTATTTGTAGGTCCAAAGGATCTAGAGTGGCGTGGCGCGGCAACAACGAGCCGATTTAGACTGACTGACTGACTGACGTTTGCTCTTTCCTTTCCTCTGATATCTTGGTGTATTCCTGATTCCTTCCTTTTTACCTCGTCCATTTTCTACCAAGGTACCTAAGGTACCTATAGTGCATCAACTTCTCTCGATTACTCCCTACTCACGCTTGTTTCTACTGTTACATTGCCAACTGCTAATCACTGAATAACCTCACATCTCGAGGTTCACCATATGTATCATGTCTTGAGGCTTCTCGCCCAACTTAGCCTCTCCCACTCTCCTCATTGTCTTAATAGATCCTCAGTCACTGTAGTGACAAAACATGGCTGTACCATGGAATTCCATGGGTATGCCATCATCTGACGCCGATCACGACAAGATCGTCGTTGGTCCCTACGACGACTCCAGATATACAGCATCATCATCTGGCCTTAGTTATATCCGACATCCTTCCACACAGCCTACCAACTCTACAGCCCGTCTAATTCCTCAACCTCTTCTCTCGCCGCCCATCGCAAGAGTATCACCTGGGCCAAGGAGCCCTTCAAGTCCGCGCAGTCCAGCCAGTTTCCAATCTCTCAACAGTCCCTCGAGCCCTGGCTTTCCTCTCAGTCCATTCTATCCGCCAAGTCCAGGTCCATTACAGAGGGGGCAATTCCCTAATTCTCCTACCAGCGATGGCTTCAGCTCGCCGCGCATGCCTGGTGCAACAGCACCCACAGACCCTCGATTATCAACCAAGGCATCAAATATGATGGAAACAGTTCTCGAGACGCCTTACTTTGACACGCCGCCTCATACACCTGGATCGTGGGGCGATGCAAGCCGTGCAACCGATAATCTAGATGCTACAGAGGTCCCTCTCAACAATGGCTGGAGACCTTGGTGGTTGCGCCGAAGAGTAACCAGCATATTCATTTGCGCGTCCATAATGTTGGCTGTAATTGGCGAGGTAGTGATGTGGTGGCTTTCAAATAATGAAGTTGACAGCAGCCTCAAGGGTCTGTGGACTTTTGGGCCCGTTGTTGGTGAGTGATCGTCAGGGTCCTTACTCTGTGTGGTTGGGATCTTCGTTCGTCTAAGTGCTCACATATATCAAGTTGTTTCTATCATGGCCATTCTATGGGCGCGAGTCGAAGCTCAAGCATTGCTTTATATGCCATGGATTGTTCTCGATCGCCGACCAACGACTGTTGACGAAACTCGCCGCAAGCAAGCGCACCGAACTATTCTACTCGACTATCCTAGCCTTGGGAGCTTTCAAGCATTAACTAAAGCATTTCGAAACCGTCACCATCTCGTCGTTGCATCTATCGTTGTCAAGCTTCTCCTACGTGCTCAGATCGTTCTTTCTACTGCCGTCTTTCACGCCGAAATTTATGTCGACAGCACTACCAGACTCCGAGCCAGGCTTGGCGTCCTACATGCTATGGTTGGCGTATTCCTCATCATCTCTGGCATACTTCTTCCTATGTTGTATCATGCACCGTCGCCTCGAGGCATTGCGCCTCGAGACCCTACTTCTCCCGCCGGAACTGCGGCACTTCTGACAAGTAGCCAGCAATTTCTCTCACGACTATCCGGAACTGGACATGCAGATATGAATGCTGTTGCTGGTAGGTTGGCAGGCTCATGGTATACGACAGAACTTAAACAACCGGGACGTCGACCTGAGGAAATGTTTCAGCTAAGACAACATGGGGGAGGAAGTGGTGCTCTCGGCATGAACCCTTCCAATCGACCTGAGGAGCCCACGGGAACATACCAGCCATGGACACAAGTCACCCGAACCAAGCTCATCAGTATTGCTATTTCCGTTGCGTTGATTGTTGGAATCTGTGTTATTTATAACTTGAAAGGCAATGAGAATGGCCTAGAAGTCGACGATAGCATATTTATCGTTTGGACCTGTCTTCCAACCATAATTTTTGCCGCTCTCGCTGTCTTCTGGGCCCGAATCGATATCGACAACCGACGCCTGGCCCCGTTCTTGAAGCTCGCCAACTCGAAATGCCGATTCCAGGAGTCTTTGGGGCTGACGTACATGAATGAGTTTGGGTTGCATACAGCTGGAAAGGCCATGAAGAACCAAGATTGGGCCGTTTTTCTTGCGAAGTGCACCTCGATGCTTGGCTGGTTGATGCCAATCTTTACTGCGGGACTATTTGCTGTATCTCAGAAGGCACAAAGGGCCAACCTTGAGCTCCGACCAGGGTCGCAGTTTGTATCGACAACTAAATCGTTGAGCACCGCCATCGATAGCGATACAATCGCAAATGTGCTCCTGAGAGAAACTCCCAAGTACCCGAGATGGACATGGGAGGATGTCGCTCTTCCAGAGGTTTCGCTTGTCGACCACCCAAGCGAGTGGCCACTTCCAAACACAGAGCTTGTGGCCAAAGTCCCAAGCCTGAGGGGCAAGCTCACCTGCGAGACGATATCTCTTTATGGAGGCGAGGGAGTGGATTGGCAATGTGTACCATTGGGAGGATCCACGAAGCAACCCGTCTGCGGATCTGATCAATCTCGAACTGCACTTGTTGCGTCTTCATGCTCACAACTCTCTTCCAAATACTCCCTCAAGTATATCTGGGGCAGCTGTTCGGATGACGGTATGATTTCTGTCATGATGTGCAATCAATCGGTTGTCGATGTTGATGTCTTGACAACATTCCGCACTGAGGACCTGTCTATCAACACGAATGCCATTCCCATTGTGAATGCATCGAGTGAGGCGCCTTCGGATGTGACGGCGGATATCACGAGTGTTTACGAAGCACTCGCTAATGTTGGTGCTGATAACAAAACCATGAACGGACTCGACGCATTCTTTCGTACTTTGGTGCTCTCGAGGTTACAGACAACCTTGGAGCGTATTGCGATGCCCGAGAGACAGAACTCGGTTTCTCAAGCGATCCGTCAACTGCATGGAATCCTTGCCGCGCAGGCAATCAATAGCGACTTGATACGCCGGCCCTTGTCATCTAAGCTCCGTGCTCGTGATGATTCTCCAACCGATATTCCAGCCTCGGTTGACTATGTTCTCCCGCGTCTGATGCAAGGAAGTGTGCAAAGCTTTGTCCTCATCGGGCTACTAGGCTTTACGCTCGCATTCGGACTCCTTTCGCTACGTACGGCATCTCGTGGGACTCTGAGCAAGAGCCCGGGTAGCATCGCCGCTCAAGCAAGTCTTGTTGCAGACTCAACATTGTGGTGGCGCTTACCAGACGGAGCAGAATGGATGGAAGATGACGATTTAGCGCGATGCCTTCGTCGAAGGACGTTCCATCTTGGATGGAGCAAGGGAGCCGCGGGAACCCGAAGCTACGGGATCGGGATCGTGCAGGACGAAGGAAAAGCAGCGAGACCACCAATGGTCTCGCAAACAAGTGCTGATAAGAGCGGGGGATTGGTTCCTGGGCGATACATTAGTATGGCGCCTGGGGTATACTCTTACGGGGATGTAGCGACATATGAAAAGTCGTGAAAGTGATACCCTCGGCATGGATCTTGAATTACATATACAAGTTTGGTATTGGTTAATGGATTTCGGAATGCATGGCATGGCGTTGGACGGAAGCGATTGGTTAAGGATTATGAACTTAATGGTATATCTACCTACACTGCAATTGTACATATGTACTTCATGTTGTGAATATACGAGGTCAACAAGGAAGGGAAGGGCTCGGAAACTTCTTGGCAAGTAGAGATAGAGTATTCGTGCATGTGGTTGAAAAATAAGCCTATTTGAGTAGCTGACCAGAAACTGGGGAATGAATTGTGGAGACTCTGGGCCCCCAGCTTCAGTCAGCCATGTATGGATTAATCGATTTATCAAAGCAAGTTTGAAGGGTCTTGAAATTGATGAGTCTTTAATAAAACTCAGCCAAACCACTCGTTTACATGGCAACTCCTTGACGATGCTGATCTTGGTCTAAATAAAAACCATTTGGCGACCTGAGATTCGTGCTTGTTCTCCCCCCCTCCCATTTATCTATCTATCTATCTATCTATCTATCTTTCTTTTCAGTCTAATACGTAACTCAACATATCATGGCGTTTACATTACACTCACATTCAGGCGAGTTCTGCCCTGGCCATGCCAAAGACCAACTCGAAGATATCGTCAAACATGCTATTTCTGTTGGCTACAAGACCATTGGCTTCACTGAGCACATGCCTCGCTATGATCTACGTGATCTCTACCCTGAAGAGGTTCGTGTCATCATCTAGCTTATCAGTCATACATGCATACACTGTCTAACCTTGCACAGCTCGATAACCCTCAAGCTGCTCTAGAAGCTCTTCCTCCTCGTCATGAAGCATATCTCGCAGAAGCTCAACGTCTTCAGCGCGAGTATGCCTCACAGATTCACATCCTCATCGGCTTCGAGGCTGAGTTCATCCGTCCAAACTGCGCAGCACACGTTCGCAAACTCGCTGAGCATCCTGTCGTTGATTACTTCATCGGCTCAGTGCATTACGTCCACAGCACTCCCATTGACTACAACAAGGACATGTTTGCCACAGCTCGTGACGCAAGCAGTCGCAAGACTGAAGAGTCGCTCTATGAGGATTACTACGATCTTCAGCACGACATGCTCAAGGAGCTGCGCCCGCGCGTTGTAGGCCACTTTGATCTCGTGCGGTTGATGAGCGAGGATCCAGCCCGGGATGTTCGGCAGTGGAAGGGCGTCTGGGAGCGCATTCTGCGAAATCTGGCTCTTGCGAGGGAACAGGATGGATGGCTTGAGGTTAACAGCGCGGGACTGAGAAAGGGACTTGCTGAACCGTATCCTGGCAGGATAATTGCTGAGGTAAGTCGACATCATCTCATCATGTGGGATATATATATCCGAGTAAAAGCTAACTGGTCATAGGAATGGATTAAATTGGGAGGAAAGTTCACTTTCTGCGATGATAGTCATGGTATTGCACAGGTTGCCACCAACTATGCCCGGACAGTCACTTATCTCGAGAGTCTGGGCGTCAACGAGGTTTGGTGTCTTAAGAGAACGCCCAACTCTGGCGTGGATGGAACGGCGAGAGCTACTGTTGAGGAAGTCAGTGTTCCTCTGAGTGCGTTCCGTGAGAATTTCCCGTAAAAGATACATATGGTCGGGCTGTTGGTTTATAATAGAAAGCCATAAGGTCATAGATTAAACAAGACTAGAACTATAGAGCAAGACAAGAACGGGTCTGATCCAGAAGGAAGAGAAATGGGAATAGGGTATCGCAAAGAAGAAGACTACATCCAGACATGAGAAGGATGTGTTGTAAAGCTCTGATAGAAAAAGAAACACCATGCCAACAAAACTCGGGATATCATCTTCCACTTGTATCCTACTGTCCAAAGCAGTGATGTGAAAGATCTGATAGCATTCGCCATACATCAGAAGAACAAATGTCCAAAGAAACAGCGTCGTCTTTAATCAATGCTGAGGCGTCTCGGGAATCTCCTCGATAGGATTCGGCGGGTTTGGCTCTGGCTTAACATCCTGCTCCGTGTGCTTAAGCTCACTTGGTCCCTGTCCCGGGCGAGGGGGCAAATGGGATACCGCCGGAAGTGTATTGGAAAAGGTTGCTCTTCTTGGCCGGACTAGGTGTCGCGGCAGGCGTTTGCTCAGATGGAGTTGGTACGTTAGGTGGAAGCCACTTCAAAGGCTCGCTCTGAGCAACGGACTCAGGGGCAGGGCCTTCGGGTTGGTAAGGAACAAAGATATCATCTGCATCCGTGCTAGGGTGTACGGAAACAGAGGGGATGGCAGGAGAACTCAGGGGAGGAGACATGAGTTGAGTGACTTGCGCAGTAGACTCAAAAGCGTATTGCTCCTGTGAGGGAGACATAATTCTGCTCGAAGAGGCAGTGGTAGGCGGTGAAGGAACTGGTGCAGGTTGAGTAGGAGGGATATCTTGCGTCTTGACAGAAGCACTGGCGGAGGTTTGATCGTGGTTGGCGGCTGATGATGAGTGCTCAGTACTGGAAGATGCTGTGGCAGGCTTGTATGTGATAGAGGATTCTTTGCCCTTGGCTTTCTCAGCTTCAAGGCGAGCTCGCTCTTTGGCTTCCTTCTGAGACTGGGTGATCAGGTTGATTCGAACCTTCTTCATACCGGAAGTGATGCTGTCAATATCATCACCGCCCGTGCTAGATGCACCGTCCTTCTTCGAAGCCTTGGCTGGCGACTTGGCTTTCTGCGTCGCTGTGGCAGGTCGCGAAGGGCCAGCGGTAGTGGTAGCTTTCTTGGTCGCCCGAGGTGCTCTTGGTGCAGGCTCCTTGCGAGGGGCAGTAGAAGTCCTTGCCTTCTTGACTGGAGGATTGGTGCTGGCAACAGATTTCGTAGCCATGGGTGAGTTTGGGACTGTACGAGCGTGTTCCACTACTTCAGGCCGATCTGCTTCGCCCGGTGATACATCTCTTGTCGTGAGGGATGCCGGGATCTCACTAAGACGACGACTGGTCCTCCTCACTGCCGGTTCACCACTGTTTATCCTCGAAGGGACACCACGCGCAACCGTCTGTGTAGAAGTTAGCTTGGCTTCATCACATGACAGTTTATAACTAACCTTGTCTGAAGAGATGGGGGCAGCACCCATGGTTCTTCTGCGGCTTGTGGGCGCCTTTTCAGTGGTTGGTTCGGGAGGAGGTGCTGCCTTGGCTCTCCTCTCACGCAGAGACATGCGCGAGGTTGGACGCGAAGAAGAGGCAGCAGGAGGAGGGTTTGGGTCAATGCCCATGATTATTGATTGGCGATCTCGCCTCGCCTTACTTGCCTCTGCATTCAGTTCTTCTGGCTTGCAGCTATCGGTTTGACGAGTAGAGGGAACCAGGAGCTTGCTGAGCTCATGGGTGGCAATGGCCCAAGGAACTTCTGGTGGAGGTGGCGATGGAGGCCTGGTCATAGACGCCCCCAAGTTGGACAAACTACGTCGCATCTTGATGGGATCTGAGACCTTAGCCGTTGATGCCTGTGTTGGTGAGAAGTAGGTTGGGAGGGTAGCGCTCTGCGGCTTCTTGGCTGGGCCATTTGGAACCTCCATCAAAGCCTCGAGCTCATCCAAGTGGAATGGCGACCACCACGATGGGTCGTAGGTATGAACAGAGTCCAGTGACGGCTTTTGCTCGAAACTGTATGACGTGTCTCCAGAAAGTGATCCAATCTTCTGTCCCATTTCGACACCAAGACGGCCAACATTGTCTGGCTCTTGGGCATAAGTTTGATCTCCGGCGAGTCCACTGAGATGACTTAGGATACCAGAGCACAAAGCTCGATCGCTATAGCCGCCTTCTAGCACGCTGATGACTCGACCATCAACGTGAAGTCCCTCTTCAGCCGCCAATTTGACGACATCTTGGGCAATACGGGCATAGAATTCTGTCGGCACGTTGACCTTGTGACGCTGCATTCCTGCGCTCTCCCATTCACTGGCGTCAAAGCCAGCAGAGAAGAAGATGGCAGCCTTTGGAGGCAAGTTTGATTCTCTCAATCGCTCCGCCTGGTTCTTGAGATAGTTTCTAACCTTGTCCAAGAGCACAATATACCTGGTTTCGTAGAGTTTCCAGAATTCCTCCTCGGACTTCCAAGGCTCCAGATGGACATTCCAAACTGTCTGTCCGTGTGCGTTGTCGATACAGATGCTGGCGCTTCTAACCTTTTCTTCATCGCCCATTTCACACGGATACGAGTTGATGTCGTGCAAGCTGAAGTAGCCAATCGAAGACTTCTTCCATGCTGCCGCATTCTTAGCAGCATTGTTTCCTCGAGAATTGTGCTGCCACGTAATGGCTTGAGAACCATCCCCGTGGTGAAGATCAAAGTCAATGATAGCGGCGTGCGTGAGCCCATGGTTCAGAGCTGCATGCATGATACCAACATGGACATTGTTGACCCAACAGAAGCCCGAAGGATAGGATGCCGAACAATGATGGCCGGGAGGCCGCACGCCAACAAAGGCCCGCTGAGGTCCAGGACCAAAAACAGTGTCGATGGCTTCGCAAACAGCCCCTAGCGCACCTTCCATGGCGTTCAGAGACTCCGAGCAAAGGTAGAGATCACCTTCGTGCAACTTGTCAGCTTTCTCAGTCCCTCTGTTCATCTGTGGTCTCTGCAGCTCCTTTCCCCCCATTGCAAGCTTCGATTCGGCTGCATCGCACATCATCTTGAGCTCTTCCATCCATTTTGTCCCATGCACATTTACTACAGCTGGTGCCAAAAGAGAAAGTCTACGTTCTGTCTTCTGTATCCGAAATGGAATGCCATGAATATCCTCAGCCTCTCTCTTTGGGTGAAGTGGATATTCACCCTCAGAATGTCTTCCACCCAACCGGACATACGCTGCAGATATACCCAGCACAGCTGCCTTTATTCGTTCCGGGCGTTCGACGATAGTACCGAGAGCGGCACGAGAAGTTCGGGGTCGGGAGAAGCGATGTCCATAGACGGCATCGTTTAGCACTACGATCATCTGAGTTGGGCGAGTAGATGTTGCGCCGTGATGCGCCTGCAGCTCGTCGCTCAGATTGTCGTGTGCAATGGAGATCGCAGTTGGTCGAGGTTTCTCCAGGACCGGAGGAGTAGACGATAGAGGGGACTTGGCCTGAGTTGGGGATATGTGATGCACCACACTGGAACGTCTCGAAGGGGTCGACCCTGGCCCGATACCGTTAGAGGAGCGCAACGAGTTCATAGACGCCTTTCGTAGTAGTGTAGGTGTGTCCCGAGAAGCTTCGCGGCTCCGGGACGGGCTACGGGACAGAGCCCGAGCATTTGGTGCAGGCGACTGTGACGTGCGACGGCCCGATGGACGGAAGGGAGAAGCTGGTTCGGAGGAGAGGCGGGACGGAGCTCGGCCGGGCGAAGTGGAGATGGAGAGTTGGTTTAAGGACTGAGTCAAGTCGTCATGTTCAGGCTGTCTGAGGTTCCGTGCGGAAGACTGTCGCCGAACCGACAGCGATGGGCGGTTTGGCGAAGCCATGAGGCTGAAGTCGACGGAATGGTATGAAACAAAGTTGTAGCGGGGTTGATCAAGGCAGTGGAGGTAAGTAAGTTAAGGTATGGGGCAAAGCCGAGGTAAAGTCAGAGCCAACTGGCCCCTTTGGTCGCCTTTGGAATACTAGCTCCAAAGGCAGGTCCTCTAAGTCTAAGGAAGGCTTGTGCTTGGGCTTGAACCTTTTTGTGATCGAGATGTGGATGTCGGTGGGTGACGTCTTTGCCCCCTTGTTCAGGGACCAGATCGCGTCTGGAGTAACGCGTTGGGGTCACGTGGATGGAGTTTATGACGCTGTTGTGTTTTGAGCATTACCGCATTAGGCGTGCTAGTAAATAACAGTGAGATACCTACCTGTACCTTAGCTTACGCTTCTAATCGGAGGGGTTCACGACGTTTATAAGAAATAGAGCAGATAGCTGAGCGAGATTGTATTTTGTTATAGCGACATTACGGAGAAATTTCCCGGGTATTTTGACGCACAGGAAAGTCTATCGTGAGCGGAATACAAAATGACAAGATTGAAAAGACAGGCAAGTATCCGTAGTTACGGTAACAGCTCATCAACCCCTGAATATTTGTCGCACAGAACGGCAGCAAACTTGTCGAATTCCGATTGATGAGTGCTCTTTGACTATTATAAGACCATACATACTACGGGACAAGATTTATCTCGTATAGAATAATAATACGATCTATATAATATATAGTGATTCACATATTGCAGATATCATAAAGCTTCATGGTAGCAGTGGTATACCCAGGACTTATATCCGTGTGTATGCGTCCATTGTTGGGTTCTATTTTGTAGGCTGCATGTGCTTAGACTGTTGGTTCGGAAGCTCTCGAAGATTAGATAAATTAAAGTTAGCGATAAATTATCTACTAAATCTTGATCGAAGTTAGGTAGGTAATCACTATGCTTGATTGCCAGCTCAGAGTCGTTCAACCCTAGTATTTACAGCCAACGGCCTAAGAATACGAGATCAAATGGTTGCCAATGACACAAACAGACAGCACTTTACCGTTAAGTCGGCCAAGTCTAGAATCACGACCATAAAGATCATGTATGTATGCACTCAAGCCCAAGCCCAGAGTGTGACATGGGTGTGTTGAC